AATAAATAAATAAAAACATCATAAATTACGAACTAAACAGTATACATTTAGTAATCTGACATTGAAAAACAGCCTAAATGTCTCGGTTGCAAATTAATCAGACTGGGCTTGGTGATCACATTTCTTTCGAAAATCCGTGTCTTTTCACCTTCAGTGTACGTTAGAACTTTAGGATCTTTTGTGAAACTGACATCATGAAACAAAATTTTGTTTTCTTCCCTGATTTCTTGTAAAGCTTGAGATTTATTTTGCATCTCTATCGGGTGTTTTATTTGTTCGTTTGTCTTTTTCAGCTCCTTAGTAAGTTTAATATTAGCTTCTTGCATGGTGTTGATGATCGATTCATTTATCTTCCTATTCAGTTTGACTTCCTTCACTCCAATAGGTCTTTCAGGTGGAGAACAACTAGAGATTGATATGAGACTCTAAGTTTAGAGGAAATGAAGAAATGCTCGTGGATGCTTGTCAGACAACTTGGGGTTGAATTTTTTTGGCTCTGCAGATAAATAATGACCAAATTATTTTTTCTTGCTCCTCGTAACTCCATCTTTAACATTTTCAAATTTCTAATAATATCCCAAATGTGATCATTATTCATTACTTCTAGGAGCGAGTGGATCAAGCTGGCAGACTTAGATTATCTCCATTACAAAAATGACAGGTATTTTTCTTATGTTGTGATACGGTGCTCTAGCAGTGCTATGACGAGTATCCCAAAAGTTGAGAGTTTACTGCAATATTTGAAAGTATGAAAAGGTTTTGTGAGCGATAATTAGGGTATTTAGCGAGCAATTTCTGAGGAGGCCAACATCTGGTGATATTTCTACACTTCTACATATTGGTCAGCAACGTGGTTATTCCAAGAATGTTGTGGAGTTTAGATTGCATGCATTGGAGGTGAAAAAATTGCCTTACAACATGGGTCGGACAATATGTTGGTCGTAGTCAAAAGTCTACAATCATTCAGGTTATGATCTTTGAATTTGGGTTGTTATTTAGCTGATAACATATATCAAAAGTGGTCTACAATTGTGCAAACAATTTATGAGTCACATGGTACGAAAGAAAGATATTTTGCAATGAAACAAGAAGCATGCAGAAAATACGTTGAATTTGTATTTGTAGTTCTTCAATAACATATTGGAATTGTAGTAGGACCAGTACGATTGAAGAAAGAAATGCTACATGATATAATAACCACATGTATAATTTTACATAACTGGATTGTCGAGGATGAATGTTGACCTAAGTGTACCAATCGAAACTGAGATGGAAACACCGCCACTAGAAGCCGAAATAGCAATAGATAAAATAGCAATAGAATTCATATTGCAATAAAATAATTAGAAGTAAAGGTAATCACATTGCATTTCGTAATGCACCAAGTGATCTTTTGTGGGAGGAATTCATCAGTCCCGGGACTTGCACGAATATTTATTTTAAACTCAATGTATTTTTATTTTTCAGCTTGTGCAATGTAATTTTTAATTTTTGAAGAATATTTATTTCTCAGATTTTATTATGTGTATGAATTATAACTTTATAATTATATTTATTACATAAATTTCAAATTGAATTTAAAGTAATAATGTGGTATTAATTGTAAAATTGTAAAATATGTGAGTTGTATTAAAAAGTAGGTGTAAAATAAAATATTTTGAGAATGCTATTTTGGATTTGAGAAATGATTTTTCTTTTGGAGATGAATTATTGCGTGATGTGACAGTTACTGCTAAATTAGTTTTGAGAATGAGTTTTTCGATTGCAGATGACGATCACCAATCGTGTACTTCAAAGGTACTGAATTAATACAGTTAATTTATTTCCCGAATCAAAGGAAAAACATACACATTGCATCTACCAACTAACTTCCCATAAACAACAATGAATCATTTTTATCCAATCAAAGTAGTATCGATACCACCCATACATCCAAAAGGGCTATATTTATCACATTTGCATGTAAGATACCATAATCTTAGATCCTCATAAAATTCATCTTCTTCTCTAAATCGTCAATATTTGCTCTCATATATCAAAACTCATGGCAATTTCTATTTCAAAACCCCTTTTTGCATCAATATTATCGGTCATTTTCCTCATGCTAGCTTTGGCCGACGCGCATTCTCTTCTTGACGGCAAAAGGCGGCTACTCGCCGGAAAGCGTAGACCGAAAATCATAACGTTCAGACCAAAGCCGTGGAGAGACGCTCATGCAACCTTCTATGGTGGTGCCGATGGCTCCGAGACATTCGGTATTCCATTTTTTTTTTTTTCCACCCATTTTTTTGGAATCTAACAATGATATTATTTAAATTAATTTATATAATTTACCAATTAGTTAGATGTTTAATTAGATATTTGTTTCATGCAGGAGGGGCTTGTGGGTATGAAGAAGGGCAGGTGAAAGAACTGTACGGAGTGAACACGACGGCTTTGAGCACGGCGTTGTTCAATGACGGGGAAACGTGCGGAGCCTGTTACGAGATCAAATGTGCCGGCCAAAATAAGTGGTGTAAGCGCGGCCAATCCATATTCGTGACGGCAACCAACTTTTGCCCGCCGAGCGGGTGGTGCAGTGCGCCCAACGAGCATTTCGACTTGTCGCAGCCCGCATTCCTCCAGATTGCCGAGTACGAAGCGGGCATAGTTCCGATTAAGTATCGAAGGTAAAAAAACAAAAAATAAATAAATAAATAAATAAATAAAAGTTACTCTAGACAAGGCATGTAAAATAACATATGTTTCACTAATTCTAGTATTGTAGTATTGTTAGTGTTTTCTAGTATTGTAGTATTG